AGGCAACTTGCTCCTCTCAGAAGTGCGCAGAACGGGCTACAGGGTAGTGATACCCGGGTGCCTTCGCCCGCGCTATCCTCAAGGTGTAGCACTTGCCCTCAGCTGTGGAGAGGAACCAGAATTAGAAGTGAGAAGGCGCAAACAACAAGCGTGCTTGGGTATAGTTAGGCGCCTGGCTAGGGGCGCTGCAGGGCGGGCGGATTATGGAGAGGTACACAGGCACCAATACCCTCCAGCCTGTGACTGAAGAAAGCGGTACGCTACTGCATTTGCAGACCTAATCACTTTGGTTGACAAGTCAAAGGACTTTCGAGGGTCTTCTTTCAAGGGAGTTCCAGCACTCATTGCTTATGCATTTAACCCACAAGTGCTCGTGTTTTGGCGAGCGTCCGTTGAAGAGCAATGGTTCAGAAATTCTGCCACTATAGGAGACCAGGTGGGGAAAACTTTCCTAATGTACACAGTAAAAGAGAATGTTTTTCGGTGGCGTTCTGTAATTACAAATGACTTGGGTGCTCTGCTGGCCCAGTATTTGTAAAATGTACATTTCTCTATATCACAGTCACCAATAGAAGCTTTATAGGAGCCTACAGACACTGCAGAAAAACTGAGCATGTTTGCGAGATTTCTCCCTCGTGCTTCATTCCCGTACAGTTCTAAAAAGCGGAACGGAAGAAGGAACAAGCTTGTTCTTCTACAGGGACACTCTTCTAGGTTTGCAACTACTAGACTTCAGCTATCGTACTGCATTAAAGGCACATGGCACGATAATTTTGTATACTGGCTAAAATGCTAGCAGGGTGCCATATAATGGGAAAAGAAAAAAAAAACGGAAAAACCAAGTCAAACGGTCGAAACCTGCGAAAAAATACTTTGTTCTTTGTTCAGGGGCGTGGAATCAAAATGCATGTCCGATGCTTCGGACGAGTTTCCCGTAGGCATCTGCCGAGAACCGCTACGGTAGGTACGGCTGCACGGATATACTCATATGTCCATGCAGCACCACGGCCGCTTCATATCAATCCTTCGATCCATCCTTTAGTTCGCAAATGAAACCATACGAGCATAAGTAAGGTCGTCCATTTATGTGCGGGCGGGCGTCCGGGGCCGTATGCTGCAGGTTGACAGAGCTCTGTAAGGGTACCTTCCCTGGAAAATGCGCGACGCAGCGCCTGTTCTGGGGCGTGAAATTCTATCCTGCCAATCCTACTCGTCCTAGGGATTAAGCGTGATGAATGACTTTGAGGCTGGCGCGATGCTTGAACGCTCTTTATTCAGAGGATGCTATGCGAACGCTAAGTCCTGTCATGATCATTTTGAGACAAGTATTATACATGAGCTGGCTCGCAAGACTGAAACTCCTGCACCTAAAGCAGAAAGCTTTCCACGTAAGGTGTCTTTACTACCGGTATCGAAGAATTGCGAAGAGACGGAAATATTAGTCACCTTCCATTCGCCACTACCCTAAACATGATTTTTTTTGTTTTAATTAGTGAATAAATTTGAAAGGAATCAAAACAGAACCAGCGAATGCAGTTCGGTCAGAAGTGCCCGGAGCCAGTTCGGTTTTATAACCATATTCTTGTGGCATGAATGACTGCGACATCATGCTGACTGCACATTTCTGCTCATCGAATGGAAAGTCTTGCACCTGAAAATAATGTTGCATTGAATAGCCTCAGCTCCTCGTTTTTCTCTCACATTGAACGTGCACAGTGCTGAAGTGAACGTAGCAGCAAAAAATCCGATTTTGCCTGTGTGGGTGACCTGTAAATTCTCGCTTTCACTCGGTATGCATTTCCTGTAAGAGTTGAATCGAAAAAAATTAGGTGACGTAGGAAATAATACAATTATAAAGAAAAAATGTAGACTGTATCATTGTCAATGACGTCCGTAGACACGTGCAACGCGTACCGCTGCGTCATCTAGGGCCCAAATGAAGGTATTGACTGCGTATCTCTCCCCCATAAGCGCATACTACTATTAGGTTGGAAAGAAAGTCATGGGACACTTGAATAAATTCTTCTAGAAACATTTTAATTTTTCCACTCCTGAATAGTAAAGATTGTTCTCTGAGGTTTTCGTAGACGGGTATACTATAATTTTGTGGAAGCTTTCGAAGCCTAAAAGTCCCTTAACACGTTGACGACAAGCGGGAAAGCGCCGCGTGGGACAATGGCGTGCTTTCGCATGCGTCCGCCCTGAGCCACCGGTGGCTCATATTGTCCCTCGTGGACCACTTTTTTGCCGCTTGCAAAATGTCGTGTAGGGACTGCTATTTCAACCATCTTTGACCCTATTGGATGCCATCTCATGCCCCGCCCTCTGCGATCACGCCCACTTTTTAGCGCGATCGTGAACGATTCTCTGAGCAGAGATATGCAGGAGGTTGTTGTACGGAGCACAATTGAGCTTGGTACACAAATCAGACGTGAGTCGCCACACGATGTGCCTCGGTGGCCTAGTGGGTAGTATGCCGGGCTCAAGTTTACGAGGTGAGAGGTTCGAATCCTTAATGGATGTGCTCTTTTAGAACAGGCGTAATCGCCAACACGATGTGCCCGGCGTAAACAGTGGTAGTAGCCGGACCTCCAAGTTTGGAAGAGGAGAGTTCCTAAATCCTTATGGATGCTCTTTTGCATTGTTCACATCCTCTCAAGTTTTTATTTACACAGCATAGCATATCAGGCAACCTTTCAACTGCTCATGAATAGGGCTTCATTCTTTACGAAAACTAACCATCCGCTGTGAAACACTTCTATTATTTATTTTGCTCATATAGTGGGTACAAACAAGTTTTGTGATTCCAAGAACAAATGTGTAATAATCCAGAACAAAAGTGTTGGAAGCAAAAAAGTTTCTCGCAATGGAAACACCGGATAAAAAAATTTCCTTACTCGCTGTGCTTACAGTTCTATGACATTGGCAGGAATGATATTGTTATAGGCTTTATCAAATCAAAAATGGTTCGGGTCCTTCCTACGTGTTCGTTTGTTTTTTCTCAAAAATTGCTTCCGACATCCTAAAAGCAATTTAGCGCTTTAGGAACCTGATCTTACCAAAATGTGATCCATTGTTTCGAAGGATGAGCCATTCTGGAACTATTCCCTGAAGGAGTACCCTTGAACTGTTGTTTCGGCGGCATATTCGTACGTGGTTGCCGCCAAGCTTGACTCCAAGATGGCTGCGAACCAGAAGGAATGTCGAGTTTATGATCAGGTCCTGCATAGAACCAGTAAGACTCGGATTCAGCGGAAAGTTGCACGGCTCACAAGATTTGATCGGCGATAGTGCCGAACCTTGCAAAAATTGTTGCCCATGGTTCCCACTTAAAAATAGGTAAAATCTCAGATTAAATAAAAATCTCAGATTTGGTTGAAAACTTGCCTCTAGGGCTAATTTGAGCCCCAGAACACGAATATCACACTTGCTCGGCGTAAAAACGCTCGCCAAGGGAGTTGCGGTCCTGCACACCCTGCCCCTCCAGAATGTGAACAAGATATTTTATGAAAAATAATACCTGCAGCCCAGATTCCAGAGCACCAGACCACCTCTATTTCCAGATTTTGAAATTTGAGGTTGGTCGTGCCTCAAATACATGCTGGAATGGGTGACCTGAGTAAAAATTACCGCATAACTTGGTCAGGGTCGTCAGCAAAATGGAGGACAGATTTGCAATCAGCGTTTCAAGGCTCACCGGGCCTATACATCTCATTTTTAAAATGCCACATCGACCACCAATCCTCCTGAAGTGGCGACAAGAGAACGGCTGAAGAACTTCACATCGGAACTCACGGAACGGAGTGGAATGAGCAGGGTGAAAGGCTGTCTGAGTTTATCATGTCGACCCATACCATCCATGGTAACTCGCAGTTCCAGAAGCCCTACTCTCTACGCTGGACATGGGAGTCTCCTGGTGGACAATTCCATAATGAGATCGACCACATCATCTTCAATCGAAGGTTTTGCCTGACCGATGTCGCTGTTGTCCCTAAGTTCTACACGGGATCCGACCATCGTCTCCTTCGCGCAAGATTCCGCTTTTCGATGCGAGGAGAGAGAGCCGCAAAGTTCAAGAAGCGAAGCCCCAAGACCTTCATCAACTGGGATCACTTCACTTCTCTCGCTGGGCTCTGGGAGGATTCTGTCATCGACAACATCGACGAGGAATACGAACGGCTTGTTGCACATCTTCACGACTGCGCCAAGAAGTCAGAGGGTTCCAGCGAAGTTACAAGAAGGCGTCTATCTTCGAAGACGCTCGAGCTGATTCGCCAACGTGGAGCCGCACGAGCCGCAGGCAATTACCAGCTGACGTCTGAGCTTGCGAAGCTATGCAGAGGAGCGATAAAGGAAGACCTCAAGGAGAGAAGAGCAGCAGTACTGGTGGAAGCCGCAGAGCTGGAAGAGCATACGCAACGCCCGCCGCGACTTCGCCAACTGGTAAGACCAAGATGACCGCCCTCCGACGTCCGGATGGAACAATCACCGCATCCAGAAGGGCAATTCGGAAACGTCATCCACACTACTCGGACTCTATTGAAAAGCCACGTCCACCTGCCAAACCGATACCGCTTGGAGCAGAATGAATAATGTGTTCTGTCCCATTCTCTCTTCCGAGTGCGATACGCCATCCTCGGGTCCTGAAGAACTTTCCCCCGTACGCACCGCTCCCACGGATCATGACCCATCCCTGAAGAATCTTCGCCAGTTCTCTGTCAAAACTCTTTACGCGCTACCTGTTCGGAATGCAACCTCGATGAAAACCAGCAAGACTGTGTTGCTGTACAAGAAGGGAGACCTGTACGACATTGGCAATTATCGCCCAATCTGCCTGCTGTCTGTAGTCTACAAACTCTTCACACTTCGTCTTCCTGTACAGGGAACTGGGAAGGAACCACTAGACAAGGACAGCCATGGAGCAAACGAGGGTTTCGAAGAGGATTCAGCACGATCGATCACAGCACGATCGATCCACACGGTAACGAAGCTCATCGAAGTATCGCGAGAGTACAAGATGCCGCTATGTCTCACGTTCATCGACTTGAAGAAAGCCTTCGACTCCGTTGAGACAGAAGCGGTTATCGAAGCCTGGCAACCAGGGTATTCCTACTCAGTACATCAGGATTCTTCGTGAGCTCTACAGCAACTTCACGACCAAGATCTCACCATTCTACAAGGAGATCATCATTGATGTGAAGGAGGGTCACGCCATCCGCCACGAGTCCCTGACTTGCCTTAGTGTTGCCCTGACTGAGTTTTCTTCCCTTTTATCACTGTGAACAAGTTTGTGAGACATTAAGTTGGCTGCGAGTGTATGGCGTCCCGGACAGACTTAGCACAATCCTTCACAGAATCTCTAAAGTATTGGGTCGGCCCATATGTAATGGCGTTTTTTTCGCACTCGAAAGTCGCGAAATGAAGAAGAAAAGTTTGCCATAGAGTTTTATACCGGTTTGCACACCGCTATCAGGGCAATTTCGTCGACGTGACGGAGGATGGTCTTGAGTTGCGATCCATGAGTTATTCCCATAAATATCCATGGCTCTTTTATTTCAATTTCGCGATCCCTGTTTTAGCATGCACTCTTCTGATCGTTCAGAGAAAACGGGCTTGTTTCTACTGTATATGACGTTCTTCGTCTTATTCTCTTCATGTCAACTTAATCGAAGATTTAACGTGTTTCCTGACCTTATAAAAAAGTCCAAAAGGGGCGGATTTGGTTCACAATTATACATTCGTTCAACGTCTAAGCTTAATGAACAACACTGCCACTGATGTCTACCTTCCTCTCTCCCTTACACCTTACACCCCCTCCCCCCCCTCCTATGAATGGGTGCGATGCATTATGGTATGAAAATCAGTGATCCAGAGAGAACTGACGTGTTTTTCCGATACTATAGCGGATGACAATCACGGAACCCATAAAAAGAGAATCTGACCCCCGTCACGATTGTTTTTTTTCCAACCAGTCGGCATTATTGTGATGACAGCTGCACTACAAACTGTGACGAGAAACAACGTCAGCAAAAAGTAACAGGAACAAAAACGTAGAGCGGAACCGGTTGCATCACACTGTATCGGTATCAACTGATAGGACATGTGTTCTGAGGTCGAATATAGTCCATTCGATTGTCTGCAGCCGTGAAAATCTTCTTGTGAGTTCTTGTGAGTCCTTTCACACATTTACCCAACATTTCAGTCAATTCCATTTCAGGGACTGAAGAAGATGTTCCAAAAGTAATTTGCCTTTCTGGTGGGTCAATGGTTACTTCGAAGTATTCACAAGAAGTACGCGTTCAGTTACATTTTTATCGGACTCTGCAGGTAATTGGCAGCAATTCTTCACAATGCCGCTCCCAATGTGATTAGCAACGTCGTCAAAAGAAGTGCGGATGCTGATCATGGTTAGTAGTTGAAAGGCACGGTCTAATTTAGGAGGAGCACCACAGTATCACTGGGACACATTGTACGACCTGTGGTTCGTGTGGAAATGATACAAGGCTTCCCAAGGCCGCTTCATAGTTCGCGGCAGCGTCCACCAGCTTCTACCACAAGCGCACAATAGCGTTCCGAGCGCCCGGCAGCGTCAGCGACTAGGAAATTATACGTCTGCTAGCGTCTAGAGGGCTAGGGAAGCATAGGTATCGATCTAGCGTTTGTCAGCGTCTACAGCGTCCACTAGCGTTCATCAGCGACCGGGACTAGATAGTGTGGAAAATAGGAGGGCAGCAAACAAGATTAATTAGGCGCCGTGACGTGACATGACGTGTACAACCGCACCGCACAACGGCTAAAGCACAGAATTATGCAAT